TCTTACTCAACCGACCCTCACACACTGCTCTGCTGCTCTGCAACCCTCAGCCTCATTTACAGAGAATACTAGGCACAGGAGAATTAGCCCCCTAGTGAGGGCGGAGTGGGGGAATGCAAACCCAGGGCTAGAGCCAGGGAGGGGGGTCTCCAGAGGCACAGATGGATTCAGGTCCAGCGTGAGGGTCGCCGCCACTATGGGCCCCTCCAGCTGTCTTCATTCTCTGCCACCCACTCACTCGTGTTGTTCCTGGCCTTGCTGTTTCTGGGCCAGCAGGAGGGAGCACCCTATAAATATCCACTGAATGAAAGCCACACCCACCGTCCTGCCTCCCCGCAGGTCTGGGAGCTGTTCACAGCTGCCTGGACTTTCCCAGGCTCTGAGGACACTGCCTGGGGCTCAGGCTAGGATTCGAGGAAGGGCCATGCCCAACCCAGGCCTGCACTCCCTCAGGCTTGGATAAGAAACATTTTTGTCTTTGTGTTTAACCTCTGCGTTTCTTCCTTGGTGGGTGCAGACAGTCAATCGCACAGCGGCAGCTGCAGTTCCATCACAGGATGGGGGCGTGTACACACACACACACACACACACACACACACACCGGCTCGGCTGGGACTCAGCTGGGACACCTCGGAAGGGAAGCTGCGATTGCCACCAAGGGGGACAGGTCAGTGTCTCCCCTGCCGGCGGGTCAGTGAAGACGTGTAGCTACCGGTGCATCTCAAATTTGTCCGTTCACACTCACAGCTGCATGTTGGTGAGCCAGGCTTCCTTTAAAACCGTATGTATTCTCATTTATTCTATGCCTTTCAAATGCTGTTTAAAAGAAGAACACAACACAGGCCTTCGTAATTTTTTATGTTTTTCGCTGTAGGGTTTACGCACTCACAGGAGAGAGATAGAGAGAGAAAGGGAAAGTGAGAAATCATCCCCCGGGGTGTGGCCACACTGCAATCTCTTCTCCTCCATTCTCTTCTGGATTTGGGGCACACACGTACACACACCCAGACAGCACCCCTGACGGGTTCCAGCACCACTACCCACCCAGACCCACCCGGCCCGGGACACGGGCGCACTTGGCCAGGTGTTCCCGGGGAGGTCTCTGGCCACAAGCCCTGTACCTTCCCCTATGGGTCAGTCTCACGGGCATCACTCTCCCCTGCACCACCATCCGGCCCCCTAGAACGAGACATGTGAGAGTCCCAGGCAGTGGATGGTTACCGAGGCTGGGGGGCTACCTGAGCCCCGCTGTGCAGCCTGCTCCTCCCGTTCCGATGGTCACACCCTGTCCCAATCTGCAGCGGGCCCCAGGCTCCTCCCAGGGACAAGCCAACACTGTCAGATTTCTTACCTCCATGGCGCATTTGGAGCAAGCAAGGGCTTCCTGAGAGCCCACTGGGGCCAGGGATCGGCTGCCCTGGGCACTGGGACACAGCTAGGGACGAGGACAGACGTCGCTGCCCTCGAGGGGGCGATGTTCCCAGAGGACCAAGTGGCCCTGCCCTAGGGAGCCCAGAGGAGCTGAGAGCCGGAATGATGGGGCTGAGAATGACCGGGGCCATGCGGCAGCCAGGGCTCTCTGGGACCTGCCCGTCCCTGCCCAGCAAATCTGCCTCCTTTTGCCCTCTGCCACCTTAGGGCCTCTGTGCGTGCCTGTCCCTGCTCCTGGCTCGCTCTTCCTCACAAAGACCTACTCATCCCTCAGTTCTCAGAGGATGTGTCCCCACACAGGGAGGTGCGACCTTCCCTGGCTGGTCCCTAAGCTGCCCCTCTGCTGGTTCCCCCACCCAGCACCCTTGCGTGCCCATCTAGTCCAGGGGTCGTGCTGTGCCCTCACTGTTTGTCATAGGACACACCGCGCCCGTCCTGGAGGGAGGAGCCCTGGTCCCCTGTGCTGAGGGTTCAGAGGTGCCCCTGCCCAGGAGCAGCCACCGTGAGAAGGTGCAGGCTTCTGGGGTAGCTGCAGGCTGGCAAGAAGCCCAGCCCCATTCCAAGGTGGACCCACCGGGAGAGGACCCCCCAGCTGGACTTCAGCCAGACCCACAGCCCTCTCCAGCTCCTTCCCTGGAGAGCACTCCCTGAGCGATGGTTTAGCGTCTGCCTCATCCCCATGGACCGAAGCCCCAGAAGGCAGGCGCTGGCCCCCAGCACCCAGCAGCGAGCACGTGCGTGGCGGCTCAGGAATGCTTGACTAAGGAAGGTACTCTTGTTTCTCACGTAGGGAAACTGAGGCCCAGAGATGGCCAGTCAGAGCGCTTCTGGACAGAATCCAGGCAGGTCTCCCACTCCCGGGCCAGCCTTGGGTTTGCAGCCCTTTCTGTGTTTTCTAGGTAGGACCGAGGAGTGAGGTGGGTCAGGCCCAGGGCCTGCCACGGGTTCACCTCTCCAGCACAGCCCCCGCCCACTTAGTCCACGGTCTCAGCTCTGCATGCCCCAGGCTGGGCAGTTCCTCCGGATGTGACGGGAGCCGGGCTCCATCCAGGCTGGGTTGACGGGAAGGGGCCATGGGTGGGGAGGCCCACAGAGTCCTCTGTGGGTGGGAGCACCAGGTGGGAGCCCTGTGTCCACCACCCAAGTTAACGTGATGCCCACCTGTGCCCTGCATCTGGCACTGAGGACCCAGGAGATGACAACCCCTGCTCTCGAGCTGCAGCCAAGGGAGGACGGCAGACATCAAACAGCTCGGGGAATGCAGAGCAGACATGGGCATGTCCAGGGCGAGGTCCGGCTGTCTCCTACGCTGAGTCAGGGAAGGCCAGACCAGAAGGGTGAGGGTCCAGATCTGCTAAGATCTAAGAAACATGTTGAGGTGCACATACAAAGGTCCTGGGGTAGGGGGCAAAAGCGGCCTTTCCAGGAACTAGAGAGATGGGGTGTCCAGCAGGGGAGCAGGAGGGAGGGCTGACTGAGCAAGGGAAGGGCAGGCTGGATGGGGCAAGACTTCTGGGGGCTGCTAGGGGTTTATTGGAATGTGGTGGGAATCCGGGGAAGGCTTCAGGCCAGGAGGTTACAGTTCTAATGCTGGTTTTAAGAAGACCACTGTGGGGGACCAATAGGTGGCATGGTGGTTAAGGCGCTGGGCTCCCACTTGGCTGACTGTGGTTCAAGTCCCAGGTCTGGTGACTTGCTTTCTCACTCGTTCCCACCACCTAGCTCTCTCTCGTCAAATTAAGAAATAATAATAAATAACATTAAATAGATAACTTTTTTAAGAAAATAAAAAAAAAGACCACTGTGGCACGAAGGCTAAGGTGCTGGATCCCACATGACCAACTCCACTATTTAAGTTCCAAACCTGGTGGCTTAAAAATCACACCAGATTGGGACCAGCAGATGGCGTAATGGCTATATCGCTGGACTCCCATGCAGTTGACCGTGGTCTCGGTTCTGGTAGCTTAAACTCATGCGTGCGTGCCCAAGATCCCGAGAGGAGCATGGAGGAGAAGGGATTGCGGCATGGCCATCCTCCTTGGGGGGTGATTTCTCGCTTTCTGTCTCTGTGTCTCCGTCTTTCTGGTGAGCGTGCAAAAGACTCTCCAAAAAAAAAAAAAAATCACACCAGATGTGTGTGTGTCCAAAATCCCGAGAGGAGACTAGAGGAGAGATTGTTGCATGGACATCTTCCCGGGGGTGAGTTCTGTCTGTCTCTCTCTGGCGAGTGCACATGCCCTACCAATAGCAAAAAAAAAAAACGAAAGAAAGAAAAAGACCACTCTGGCAAGGTGGGACGGGACATCTCTGAGGCCCCCACATGGCCAAGGCACAGATGGGCACCCTGGTCTTGGCTCCTGGGTGCAGAGGGAACGCCATGTGTGATTGCCCCGGAGCTGTGGGGACCTCTGTTGCAGGACCTTTGTGTCCGACCGGCCAGACACAAAGCCTTAGGTTGGCTTGTGATCCCTGATCCCCGAGCCGGGCTTAGATCCCAGCTCCAACCCTCCCCTCTGGTGACCTTGAGTACAGCCCTTAATGTCTTCCAACTGACGTCCTCTAACACAAGCTAGCAACGGCCTGCCTGGAAGGGCCCACAGAGGCCCGCACGGACCTCCAACTGCCGCTTAGCAGGTGCTCGATAAACTCACCTGCTTCACAGCGGGCCCGAGCTGGGCTCCAGAGGGTGGACAGTGTGGCCCTGGGGTCGGGCAGGGCCGTCTCCTGTGCTGGGACCTGGGGCCTGTGTGCCTTCCCTCCACATGCCAGCCAGGGGGGGAGCCACAGCAACTGCACAAAGTGCCTCAGCAGAAAGCAGGCCCAGGGAGCACTCGCTAAGGACTGCTCCTATCTCCTCTCACTCCCATCCACACATCTGCCGACCATGGCTGTGAACACCCTCTCTACAGATGGGGAGACTGAGGTGGAGGGCAGGGAACCACTCAGTCCCCAATAAGTAAGTGGCAAGCTCCTGACCCAGAGCCCTGTGTATCAGCACAGCCAGGCAGGATGAGACAATCCCTGCTCCATGCACCCCCCAAACATGGGATGACCAGAGCTTCTCACCTGGTGTCTGGACTCAATGTCAAAACCCTGCAGGACGGGCAGGAGCAGAGCAGCAGCATCTCCGCTCACGCTCATGGGAAACGCATTTGAACAACGGTTAGAATTCTCTCCACGAGGCCCCTGCTGGCAGTCGGAGCAATGGTACAGGTGCTCTGAAGTCCCTCTGGGCCCCTGCCCTGCACCAGGCTGGAGGAGGGCTTCCTCTTCTGCCTCGCAGTGGAGACAGGGCGGCCTGCTCTGACTGACCTCCCCACCCAAGCACCCACTGTGCTCAGCACAGCTTTGCAGAGGAGGCAGGAGGTAGCCCAGAGGACCCAGGCAGCCACTGAGGTGTGGCACCATGGGGACAAGCTGGAAGCCCACCCAGGGTCTGCAAGGAGGCTGCCTTCTGTCCTTTCTCCCCAAGCTGCAGCCACATCCAACCACTGAGGATGGCCCCAGGGAACCCACCGCCCAGCACGTGGAGGCTGAGCAAGTGCGTTGAATACAGCACGCAGGGGAGCCGGGCAAGGGACCGTCAGACACATATCTGGACACGATGGCACTCAAAGAGATCAAAATGCATTTAATGTGGTCTAATCTCATCGCCTACGTCTTTAGATACCGCTATGTATTGAAAATAACATGAGAATTCTCCAGTGTCACCATTTAAAATAGATTTGACATTCTATGACCTCACGCAGGGCAGACACGCCCTGCCCAGGGCTTCCCGGTGGCTCCCCCCTGCCCACCCCCAGGACCCTCGGTCGGGCAGGGATGGGGCAGCAGCACCAGCAGGGGCTCGGGGGCGGCCCCCGTGTTCTGAGCAGCACACACGGGCTGCACATGGACATACCAACCCACTGACATTTGTGTACACACACCCTGGGGCCCACGCACATTTACATGAATGCGAGTTCACACGGACAGACACACAATGGCCTCTTCCACACCATCCAGGTACAAATGCCCACCTTCAGATGCACTGGCACACCCTGGCACACACATCCCTCCCCGCACCATGTGAGTGATCAGGGCAGAGGGTCGAAGAATTGTGGGGTTCAACCATGCGATGTGTGTGGCCACACCCCAGCCCGGTGAGCATCCACCCAGCCTCTCACACAGAACACACACACACAGCTACCTCGAGAGACGCACATACAACTACCCGTATACACACACGTATGCCACGCACCTGTGTTACCAACCCAGAGTCACACACGTAGAGACAGTGGTATGTACACATTGTACCAGCTCACACATACGCACGTGTGCACATGAATGCACCCTCCAAGGACCCAGTCTTTGTCACACCTGCACACACATGTGGCTCCTCCCATCTGCTCTCCAGCTTCATGTGCACTACAGAGGGAGACTATTTTGGTCTTTAGCACAAGCAATAAATAAATAAATAAATAAATACTGGGGCAGGAACAAAGAGGGCAGAAGAGTCTGAAAACCAGCACCTGCCTGCCTCTGAAAGGGCGAAAAGCAGCCCAGGCTGTGCTCTTGCTGGGACTGGGGCTGGGGCTGGGGCAGGCCCGGGAGGTGAGTGCACGAGGCCACTGAAGGGTGAGGGAGAGGCCTTGCGTGGCCCTGAGCTCTGCACCCAATGGGGAGTGGAAGGCTGGCCTCCAGCCCTGGAGGGCAACGTGGAGAGACCGAGTGACCAAGGCCTCTGTCCCCCTCCCCGCCCCTCAGTCTGGTGCCCTGGCTGTGGGTGAGAAGGAGCATGCCACCCACTGCTCCAGGCTAAGGCTGAGGAAGCCAGTCAGGCAGAGTGGGAAGGAGCAGAGGCTTCCCTGGCAGACCCTGAGAGGTAAAGCCCCCTGGGCTGGATCTTCTGGGCTGGGGCGGGACCCGGGGCTGGGAAGGCTCCCTTCCCAGTGACCCCACCTGCCCACTGCACGACCTCGCGAGTCCCCCTTCTCTGCTCTCTACCTCAATTTCCCTACTTGAACCTAAGAGCTCTTGGTGCCTTCTGGTTTCGACCCATCCTAGAAGGGCACAGATTGGGGCAGCCGGCAGGCACGCTGGGACTGGGCTTCTAGCACCGCCCTGAGGGGTCGGTCCAGGGAGCTCGCAGCCTCAGCATCCCCAGGAGGGGTGGGCTCCAGCTGAGGCCTGGCCCTGTCTGCTGCCCAGGACAGGACAGGCTGGGGGAGCCAGCAGCTGATGATAGAGAGGGGATCCCAGGCCTCCCTGACACAGGCGCTGTGATGTCTGGTGCAGGGGGCACTGGGAAGCCTGAGCAGAGAGTCCCTGCCGTGGCCAACCTCACTCAGCTCTGAATGAGTGCGCCTCTCCCAGCCCCCTCAGCCCTCCACCACCCAGTGTCAGATCATGACCTGACTGCGCCCCCCCGGCTCGCCTATGCTGCCCAGGTATGGGGGGCAGAAAGGGGCGCCTTCCCAGGGCAGGCAGAGGGGCTGGCAGGGACCTCAGCAGAGGCAGTGGGGAGGATGGACAAGTCCAATAAAAACAAAACAACTCGAGCCAGACAACCCGGAGTCTCTAAGGCACCACTCGCAGGGAGGCCGTGGGGACAGGCTGCACTGCCCCCCTGGTCGGACCCCGCTGCCCTTCCTGCGGAGCCTCTACTTCTGGGTCTCCACTGCCCCTCACTGTGCGAGGCGTGGAGACCACCAGGCAGAAATGGAGAGAGAAGCAAAACGTGAGCCACCGGGGTGTGTGGGGGTCTGAGCTGGCCTGAGAGGCTCCTCTACAGTGCAGAGCCACACTCCGGCCGCGTCTCCCCAGGCCCCGCCCCAGTGGCATCAGGAAGCGTTTACTGCGACCACACAGCCCAGTGCACCCATGAGCGTGAAGAACCGCACCTCCATGGCTCTGCTGGACCCTGCCTGTACCATGTGAGGCCAGGCCAGCCCTGGAGGGTGCCTCCTGGAGCCGCCATTGGCAACCCATGGAATTCTAATTGTCCTTTCCCCCACCACCACCAATTACAAATATTTTTTAATCGCATGTTATTATTATTATTTTTTGTAAACAGTCTTACCCAAGCTAAGGTTGAGAAAGCCAAAACTGGGTCTTCCTCCCCAAGTTAAAAACTAGCAAGGAGCACAGCGGCCTGCCAGCCTTGACGGCTGGGGCCGGGCCTGCGGGGGAGCTGTTTCCAGGCAGGCGGCAGCTGTCTTCAGGCGGAAGCTTCTGGCTCCTGTGGCCTGGGCCCCCCAGGAGGCCACCTCCCTGCTCCTGTGCCCTTGTCAGCCTTCCAGGCCAGGGCTGCCCACCCTGGCCACTCTCCCTCCCGCCAACCTCTGAGGCCATTGCAAAGAAACATAAAACGACTACACGCTACTGAGTCTGCACCGGGCGCCGGGCCCGTCTGCTCAAACCCAGGGCCCCTGAGGGCCTCTCCCTGGCGGGGCGGATGTGACACCTAGGTCAGCGGTGGCTCAGATCTCCGACTCCCGTCTATAGGGTCGCTCGAGGGCACCCCCGCTGGCCTGGAGCCTGTCAAAGTCATGCCTGGCCTGGGGGCTGAGGCCCTCCCTGCTGCCGCTGTCCTGGTCCCCATCTGCCTCGTCCTCCTCGTCGCGGCTCAGGAAGGCCAGTTCGTTCTCGTAGCAGAAGGAGTTGGCGCTAGGCAGCAGGAACTTGTTCTCAACCAGGTCCTTGGCACTGCAGCGGGGCGTGGAGGGCACCTCGTAGGTCTTGTGGAAGTGCGCATAGTCGATCTTGTACTGGTTCTTCTCCTCAAAGAGCACGGGTTCGAAACGGTGGCCCCACAGGATCTCGTTGGCCAGGTAGGAGCTGCGGGCCTGCGTGGTCATGGCCGTGGCCTCCACCATGCCCTCCAGGATGACCACAATCTCGAAGTCGTCCGTCTCCAGGTCCTGCCGGCTGATGCCGAACAGCGGGCTGGCCTCGTCGATCTCGTGCAGGATGGTGATGGGCGACACCAGGAAGATGCGGTCCAGGCCCTTGTCGAAGCCCACGTCGATGTCGATCTGGTCCAGCGGGATGTACTCGCCCTCCTCCGTGACCCGGGGCTTGATGAGCTGGGCCCGCACGTGCGCCTCCACGATGTGGCTCTTGCGCAGGTTGCCCACGCGCCACATGAGGCAGAGCTTGCCGTCGCGCAGCGCCACCACGGCGTTGTGGCTGAACAGTAGCGTCTGCGCCCGCTTCTTGGGCCGCGCCATCTTGGCCATGATGGCGCCGATCATGAAGGAGTCGATGATGCAGCCCACGATGGACTGCGCCACCACCATGAACACGGCCACCGGGCACTCCTCCGTCACGCAGCGTAGCCCGTAGCCAATGGTGGTCTGCGTCTCGATGGAGAAGAGGAAGGCCGCCATGAAGCCGTGCACCTGCAGCACACAGGGGGTGCGGCCCCGGCCCTCGGCCGGCTCCAGGTCGCCGTGGGCCACAGCGATGACCCAGAAGATGATGCCGAACAGCAGCCAGGAGGCGAGGAAGGCCAGCGAGAAGATGAGCAGCATGTAGCGCCAGCGGATGTCCACGCAGGTGGTGAACATATCAGCCAGGTAGCGCTGCGATTTCTCATCCATGTTGGCGAACTCGATGTTGCACTGGCCGTTCTTCTTCACGAAGCGGTTGCGGCACCGGCGCCTCGTGTGCACCTTGCCGTTGCCGAAGCCGTTGGCGCCCGACATGGTGACCAGGTGCAGCCCGTCCTCTTCCGACGACACGATGCTGTAGGGGTTGGCCCGGCTGGCCGCAGTCATCCCGGGGGCGGGGGGGCCCCGGCTCGCCCCCTGGCTGGCTTCAGGAGGGGCAGCTCCTGCAATAGAGAGGGCACTGGGTCTGGCTGGGCAGGCAGCACGGCCCATGCCTCAGATCCCTTCCCGGGACTCTGGGTGTACTGGGCAGGCATTTCCGCCCTCTGCCCTCCACCGGTTCCTCGCTTCACCCTCTCAGTGTGTAAGATGGCCCTGGGCCTGCCTCAGCGCCCTCGCTCCACACCCAGGCCCTGCTTTCAAAGGCACACGCTGAGGTCCGACCCTCTCCCACCTCTCTCCCGGCCTGAGTCCCTGCCACTGCCTGCCTGGACCAGTGCAGGGCCCCCTCACCTGCCTCTACACTGCCCCCAGCCCCCACAGTACCCACAAGGAGCCAGTAGAGGCTGAGTAGGACCCCTTCACTCCTCTGCTCAAGTCAGAGTCCCTGAGAACCTGCCTGGCTCATGCGGCCAAAGGCCATGACCCCTCGGATCTCACCTCCTGGCTCCCTCTCGCCTGCCCTCCAGCCACGGCCTCCAAGCTGCCCTGACCTTCTTGGCCCCAACACCTCCTGTGGGAGCACGAACAGCCTTCCTGTGCCCCCAGGAAGTGCTGCATTTGCCCACCATCTGCGTCTGAGGGCAGGGGTCTGGTATTTTGCTCACTGCTGTCCCCGCACCCTCCGGATACATACCTGCCCTGCAGGGCCCACCTGGCCCTGCAGCCATGCCCGCAGCCTCCCCATCACCAGCAGTGGGATCGCCCAGACAGGGGACCTCCACCAGCACTCCCTGACTCTGTCCCTGTTCTCGTCATCTCTCAACGAAGGACACAAGGCCACCAGCCAGGGAGGCGGAGTGCTCAGAAGTGTCACCTGTTCCATCACCATTCCTGACCTGCTCAGGAAACCATGTGGCCAGGCCAGCCTTCCATGCACACAACTCATGCACACCAGGCCGTCCGTCTGCAGGCTCAGCACACAGCCCCACGGCAGACGGAGCAAGCCTTGCTCTCCCAGCCCGCAGCACCCCGGGACACACAGGCATGTCTCATCTCCTCTGCTGCCCCCAGGCCCCTCATCCTCCTGTCTGAGGCATCCGTGAGCCGGGCAGGACACTGCCTGGCCCTTGGCCGCTGACACATCGGGGTTTCAGCCTGCGTTGCTGGGCTGGGCCAGCAGGGGGAGCCCTGGGCTGCCAAAGGGGCAGAGTCTGAGGAGTTGGGTACAACCTCCCTGCACAGAGCCCCAAGTCCCAAGGTGGTCACTCCATGAGGTCTGGGCTGGAACCTCAGGGCCCTCCAGCTCCTGCCAAGGTCCCTAGGAGAGGGCTGCAGGTGGCTGGGCACCCACAGTGTGCCTGGCACTGTGCGGGAGTCTGCAGGGGCGGGGGGAGAGGCTGCCCCATTTTATAGACAAGGACCTTGCCCAAGGTCCACAGGCAGGAGGTGGTGAGCCAGCATCCAGGCTTCTGGCCAAGTCCACACTAGCCAGAGCCCCGGGTGTGCGTGTGGGTGGGGTGGGCACAGCCTCCGAGCTCTGCTGCCCACACCTGGGCGATGGGTGAGGGCGGGCTACCAGGAGCAGCCCCGCCGTGGACACTCCCAGGGTCTGTGCCATGGCACATACGAGCTCCTGGCAGCCGTTGCCTGACAGAACGGCGAGGACAGCAGACAAAGCTCCGGGTGCCTGTGGAGAGGCGCCAAGCACGTCAGCAAATGTCCCCTCAACAGCCCCAGGAGGCAGGTGCCATCATTGCTCCTCGCAGAGGTTCAGAGAGCTTACGTGACTCCCCGAAGCTACACAGCAATCCATGTAGAGAGCTGAAGTTCAAACCTCTCTAACGCAAGGTCTCCCGCTGGGACCCCAGGTTCGCCAGCCAGGCTCCGCCGTGCCGATCACCCCCGCCCCAACGGCTGTGCCAGTTGACCACCTCACCATAGTTCTGAGGAGCTGAGGCCTGAGGCTGTAATGGTGGACGCTGCTTTTGCCTGGGCCAGGAGGCAGGGGCCCGGCGGTGGTGGGGCCCCCTGGGGCTGTGCTGGGGGGAAAGCCCAGCCCCAGCGTCCTGGGCCCTCCTGAAGGCGGCAGCCAGGGCGGGGGCACTCACACGCCGGCGGAAAGCCACCAGGTTCCCAGGGGTGGGTTTGTGTGACCTGGAGGCCTGGAGGGACGTCCAGCGGGTCATGGCTGCTCCAGCTCCCACTCTGAGCAGCTCAAAACTCCTCAAGCTCCACCCTTGAGCAGCTTACAGCCTACAGGGAAAAGATCGGAGGAATCAAAGGCTGGAGAGCCCAGCCTGGTCTGGAGCAGGGTGGGCACCTGGTACCCAGCAGCCCCGGGTCGGGGAGGGTGCTGTGGCGGCTGCTGGGCACCCGGGACCCACCCACATGGCGTCACGCAGGACTGGGAAGCCCTGCTTCTGTTGGTGTCCCTGCTAAAACCACACAGAACACCCACCCAGGAAGTTTCCACCATGCTCCTCCCTCAGAGCCAAAGCTGTCTCGGAGCACAGCGGCTTGTCCAAAGTCACCTGGAAACTGAGTGGCAGAGACAGGGAGGGCCTCAGCGTCGGTCCTCAGTCCTCCATCTGCTGTGTGCGTGTGAGAGGGAGAGGGAGGGAAGGAAGGAGGGAGACCACTGGGGCATGGAAGCACCGTGCCAAGGCACTTGGAAACTATAGCCCCACAGAGAAAAATCCCAGAGGAGGGCGGGGGAGCAGGAGCCCTAGCACCACTGACGCCCTAGCATCCTGGGGCCCTGCACCAACAGATGTGGCCGGGAGCTCACCCAACCGTGCAGCCTCTGGGACTCCATCTAAAAAATGTAGGACACGCTCTTTGCCCAGGGACACGCAGGCCTGCCAGGCTCCTGCTCAAAGGGACACGTACAGTGACATCAGACAGAAATGAAACCAGATCCGTGTTGCTGGAGGAGGCCTTAGCAAGCAAGGAGGCTGGCTCCCCATCTTACAGAGGGGAACACCGAGGCCAGCAGAGAAAACCAGCAGCAGCTCACAAAGCAACTGGGGGCCAGGACGAGGAGCTCAAGATCCAAGGTGGCCGGCGGGGTCCCCAGGCCCATCCGAGGCGGGGCCAGGAAGGAAGCGCTGGGTATCCTACCTGAGCTAGACAAGGCAGCTTCGACTCCGAGAGGGGGCCGAGTGGGCCAGCAGGCAGAGAACGGGCAACAGGGAAGCAGACCCAGCAGACCCCCAAGAAGTGGTGAGGCTGCTGCTGCCCCGCAAGCTGACTCCCTGCCAGCAGGCACCCAGGTGAAGCCTCCTGGCACCCAGTGTGCACGGAACAGTGGGGCTCGGGCCGGGAGCTTTAAGAGGAGGCCAGACAGCAGCAGCCACATGACCCAAGGGTGGGGCCTGAGAGTCACCGGGAGGTGTCTCCGGATGGACCAGGACACCCCATGCCCAGCCCCCTGAGGCTCTGGGCACCTCAGGTTTCGGTGACATCCGGGAGGAGCCCAGGGCAAGGCCTTGGAGGAGCCTACATTCCCAGATGCCAAGAAAACACTGACCAGAAGGAACAGTGGAGGGGTCCTCACTGCCCAGTGAAGACACAGGGCCAGGAGGGGAGGCGCCAGCAGTCCTCTTCCCGGGGGCCTTTTAGCAGGACCTCCAGACGCACGGCAGAGCAGTCCACATCTACTGAGAGCTTCTCGATGCCCGAGTTGCCCAAGAACTCTAATAAACAAATCCACATAATCCCTACAATAACACTGTGGCTAACCTTTATACCCATTTCCAGATGAGGAAACTAAGGCTCAGAAAGATCAAGTCACTGGCTACTTGCCTTTAAGGCAAGTGACCCACTTGCTCCAGTCTAGGGGGTAGGGGCAAAACCAGCACCTCATAAGCCCAGGCGCAGAGACCTGGCTGTTGTGAGATGCCGCATCCCAGCTTCAGATCTCAAGGCCTCGCAATCCCACTTGGCGGTCAGACATATCAACTGTCCAAGCTGGCACTCTGAGCGGAGGTCGAAGACCCTCACCAGCACTCACCTCTGTCACTCATCCTTGTTTGGACATCCAGAGAGAAGCACTCACCACCTCATGATCAAGCCCCACCACTCCGTGCAGGAATGGCTGGTGCATGACCTGTGCAGAACTCCAGCTCCAGTCATGCCATGGCAGACATCATTAATCAATCACAGACTTATCCCACTGCATCGAGGGACAGCCTTAGAACCTCTCCTAATCCAGTCATTCTCCACCAAGCTTGGGAAGAAAGCTTGTAAAGCCCATTCCTTTCTTTGTAAATGAAGAGATCCAGACTCTAAGAGGACTCTCTTATTCAGTCACACAGAAAGCAAGAGGTAGGGCCAGGCAAGAGGAAGCCAGGCCCTGAGTGAGTATGGGACCCCAGCAAGGCTAGCTAGAGGTGCAGGCCAGTGGGGAGAGGCCACCGCCAGAGCCACTGCTGGGTGCACAGGGGTCAGCGAGGAGGCTGAGTGTCTCGTCGATTGCTGAGCATGGTGTAGAGGAGACGGCAAGTTGGCAAAGGGCCGACATCTCTGTTTCTCAGGGTCTGGGAAGAAGCCAATGACCTCTCGTGACCGAACAAGAGGTCGAAGAGGACATATGAGTAGAAATCCCAGCACCATCCACTTGCCAGACATCCTACGTATGCTTATACCAACTTGGACAGCAAGAAGGCCGGTCTTTGGGAGTCTAAGAAATGCAGGGCAGGGCCAGCAGGTGATCTGCACTCCCTCATGGCCAGCCTCAGTTCATGTCCTGGGCCCAGCAACTTGGAACTCATACCAGGCACATGTGCCTGCGTCCCAAAAGTCCTGAGAGGAGAATAGAGGAGAAGGGATTGCAGCAGCCCCGGGGGTGATTTCTTGCTTTCTGTCTCTCTGTCTCTGTCTCTCCAGTGAGCACACACGCACTATAGCGAAAATCTCTCCAAAAAAGAAAAGAAATGTAGGACAATGTCCCCAACCAGGGACATGCAGGCCTGTTTGCCTCATGCTCAGCAGAATGCACAGAGCAAAATGAAACAAAGGAGACCGGAGCCTGCTTTGCTTCCCAGGCCAAACGCCCCACTGTGTTCGGAGCCCGTGGCTGCAGCGTTCTGGGCCTTCCAGGCCAGGCCCATGCTAGGCCTGGGGAGAGAAACCACGGCAAGTCACAGAGTGCCAGGGTGGGTGGGGTGCCTCACTCCACCCAGGGCCTCACCACTCCGGAGTCTGCCTGCCCCTGTTCCAGCAGCCCGCTCCAGTCTCTCTGCCTAAAACTCTCAGTGGCCACTGGAGCAGCTGACTGTGCCATGTGCAGGGCAGCCTGGGGGTTCCCGCCACCGAGAGTCACCTCCAATCAGTAACCCACGGGAGCAGGGAAATGAACACCCAGCAAGCTGTCTCTCTCCAGTCCCCCACTAGACGGAGCTCGGTGCCCCCGCTGTAACTATCAGAACATACTGGTACTCCCGGGTTCACCTCTCGCCAAACCCCTCACTGTAACCTCGTCTCCAGCCCTCCTCATGGGCCCCCAGGTGCCTCTCCATGGCCACAGCTCTTAGTCCCTAACCCGCCCCCACACCCACCACACCACTGGCCCAGACAGCCCCTTCTCTGTTCCCAGATTTTGCCTCCTCCCCTTCTCTTCCCTTTGCTTCCTTTCCTCTTCCTCCAAGCCTTTTTTTTTTTTTTTTTTGGAGAGGTTTTTGCTATAGGGCGCATGCACTCGCCAGGCAGACAGAGACAGAGAGACAGAAAGTGAGAAATCACCCCCCAGGGGGGATGGCCACGCCACAATCCCCTCTCCTCCATTCTCCTCTCGGGATCCTGGGCACGCACGCACACGCGCCTGGCGTGAGTTTTAAGCCACCGGGTCCGGGACGCGAACCGCGGTCGACTACATGGGAGTCCAGCGGCATAGCCATTATGCTAACTGCTGGTCCCCCTCCAAGCCATTTTGAACTCTCTAACCCTGGACTTTTTCTGTTAGGACCAGAAGCTACTTTCTACCTGGTGTGAGGGTTGATCTTGCCCCAGCCCCATCTCTAAGGCCCAGAGAGGCTGTATAGGCCTGGCACACAGGAGGCACCCAGAAAATGCTCCCTGAACAGATGAAAGGATGGAGGATAAGCAGCTGAAGAGAAGGATAGAACTATGGCTGAGTAGACAGACATACGTACAGGCGAGTGGTCAAACAGTGGATGGAGGAATGGGCTGATAGGTAAGTGGGTAGATGGAGGGATGGGTTAAGGGGATGGAGGGCTGGATGAATGGATGAATGGTTGAGCAGGTGAATAACTAGGATGAGTGGGTAGATGTGTGTGGTATAATGAGTGGATGCGATGGGCAAGTACATGGACTAATGAGTGGACGAATAAATGGATGGATGGGTGGACGGGTGAAGGGTGAATGGATGGCTGGGTGAGTGGTGGATGGATGGGTGGACGGGTGAGTGGTGAATGGATGGGTGGACGGGTGAGAGGTGAATGGATGGCTGGGTGAGGGGTGGATTGATGGGTGGACAGGTGAAGGGTGGATGGATGGCTGGGTGAGGGGTGGATGGATGGGTGGACAGGTGAAGAGTGGATGGATGAGTAGATGGGTGAGGGGTGGATGGATGGACAGGAGAGGGGTGGATGGGTGGATGGCTAAGTGAGTGGGTAGATGGATGGATAGGTGAATGGGTGCATGGATGGCTAGATGGGAGAGTGGGTAGATGGATAGATGGATGAAGGGTGAATAGATGGATGAATGGGTGAGGGGTGGATGGATGGCTGGATGGGCAAGTGGTTAGATAGATGGATAAATGAGGGGTGTAGATAGGTGAGTGAGTGGAGAGATGGCTGGATGGGTGAAAGGTAGATCGGTGGAGGGGTGAGGGGTGGATGGATAGATGGATAAAGGGTGGATAGATGGATGGATGGGCGAGGGGTGGATGGATAGATGTATGGGTGACAAGTGGATGAATGGCTGATGTGTGAGTGGGTGGAGAGATGACTGGATGGGTAAGCAGATAGATGGATGGATGGACGGGTGAGGGGAGGATGGATGACTGGATGGGGGAGCAGATAGATGGATGGATGGATGGGGGAGGGGAGGATGGATGACTGGATGGGGGAGCAGATAGATGGATGGATGGATGGGGGAGGGGAGGATGGATGACTGGATGGGGGAGCAGATAGATGGATGGATGGATGGGGGAGGGGAGGATGGATGACTGGATGGGGGAGCAGATAGATGGATGGATGGATGGGGGAGGGGAGGATGGATGACTGGATGGGGGAGCAGATAGATGGATGGATGGATGGGGGAGGGGAGGATGGATGACTGGATGGGGGAGCAGATAGATGGATGGATGGATGGGGGAGGGGAGGATGGATGACTGGATGGGGGAGCAGATAGATGGATGGATGGATGGGGGAGGGGAGGATGGATGACTGGATGGGGGAGCAGATAGATGGATGGATGGATGGGGGAGGGGAGGATGGATGACTGGATGGGGGAGCAGATAGATGGATGGATGGATGGGGGAGGGGAGGATGGATGACTGGATGGGGGAGCAGATAGATGGATGGATGGATGGGGGAGGGGAGGATGGATGACTGGATGGGGGAGCAGATAGATGGATGGATGGATGGGGGAGGGGAGGATGGATGACTGGATGGGGGAGCAGATAGATGGATGGATGGATGGGGGAGGGGAGGATGGATGACTGGATGGGGGAGCAGATAGATGGATGGATGGATGGGGGAGGGGAGGATGGATGACTGGATGGGGGAGCAGATAGATGGATGGATGGATGGGGGAGGGGAGGATGGATGACTGGATGGGGGAGCAGATAGATGGATGGATGGATGGGGGAGGGGAGGATGGATGACTGGATGGGGGAGCAGATAGATGGATGGATGGATGGGGGAGGGGAGGATGGATGACTGGATGGGGGAGCAGATAGATGGATGGATGGATGGGGGAGGGGAGGATGGATGACTGGATGGGGGAGCAGATAGATGGATGGATGGATGGGGGAGGGGAGGATGGATGACTGGATGGGGGAGCAGATAGATGGATGGATGGATGGGGGAGGGGAGGATGGATGACTGGATGGGGGAGCAGATAGATGGATGGATGGATGGGGGAGGGGAGGATGGATGACTGGATGGGGGAGCAGATAGATGGATGGATGGATGGGGGAGGGGAGGATGGATGACTGGATGGGGGAGCAGATAGATGGATGGATGGATGGGGGAGGGGAGGATGGATGACTGGATGGGGGAGCAGATAGATGGATGGATGGATGGGGGAGGGGAGGATGGATGACTGGATGGGGGAGCAGATAGATGGATGGATGGATGGGGGAGGGGAGGATGGATGACTGGATGGGGGAGCAGATAGATGGATGGATGGATGGGGGAGGGGAGGATGGATGACTGGATGGGGGAGCAGATAGATGGATGGATGGATGGGTGAGGGGAGGATGGATGACTGGATGGGCAAGTAGGTGGATAGATGGATGAGTAAGGGGTGGATGGGAGGATGGACAGGCGAGTGGGTAAGTGATGGATGAGTGGGTGAGTGGTAACTAAATGGCTGACATGGGTGAGTACGTGGATGGAAAGAAGGCTGGCTGGGCGGGTAGGCAGGGGCAGATGCTCAGGAGGGCTGTGTCAAGCTACTAATGAGTGGATTAGAGGTCAAATATGTGGTAACTTCAAAAAGTTTGTGGAAAACTGAATTAAAGTACAAGTATTTGGAGGCAAAATTTTCTGAAGTCCATAGTATGCCTTTTATAGGGACTTTCTGAAGACCCCTCATAGGTGGGTGGGTGGGTAAGTGGACAGAAAAGTGAACAGATGTGCACATGGCTGGAGTACACAGGTGCATGCCAGTCATCTTCATCTTACCTGCTGGCTTCTATCTTCTAAGTAACGGTGCTGAGCAGGCAAGTGACTGTCTTCAAGGCTGAGTTAGCAGCAGCTGCCATGTCGCAGGCACTAGCTGGGGAGGATCCAGTCACCAGAAGATCCTAAAGTGAGCACAGCAGAGCCAAGTTACTGCCTCTGAGGAGCTCAGCAGCCAGACGCTTCCCCACGAGCCACTTCCTTGTTCACACCCAGAGTTCAGAGAAGGTGTAGGGGGCCTCCAGCCCGCACCTCCGATGCCTTAGACCTGTGCAGCATTCCAGCCCTGTCCCTAACAACCATTCCGAACTGGGGAGGGAGGGAGAGGAAGGGGGTCTTCAGAACAATACCAGCTGACAAGTACCGAGTGCCGTGCATGGCAGAAACTGCAGCAGGTGCTGTGCACACATCACTCGTGCAATCCTCACAACAGCCCTACTGGGTGAGAACTGTGGCTGTTCCCACTTGAGAGAGGGAGGTAGAGTTCTGATTCTCCTAAGGTCACCAAGAAATGAGTCCCAGCTTTTAGCCACCACCTGCAGGGCCTTCCCAGTGCCACCCCTGAGGCCATCTGTGGACAAACGGGTGAATAGATGGGTGGCTAGAAGAGTGGATGGGGAGATGGGTGGGTGGATAAGGGTGTGGACAGATGGATGAGTGAATGGGTGGATGGATAGGAGGATGAGTGGGTGGACAGATGGAGGGATGGATGGGGGGTAGAAGGGTGGATGGGGAGATGGGTGGGTGGGTGGATAAATGGGTGGCTGGATAAGGGTGTGGACAGATGGATGAGTGAATGGGTGGGTGAGTGGGTGGGTGGGTAGATAAGTGGATGTGTGGTGGATGGTTGGGTGAGTTGGCAAATGGATGGATGGGGGGTCTGGGTGAGCAGAATGGGTGATGAGATGAGTGGGTGGGCGCACAGCAATAACTTGTCAGACTTGCCTTGGACACGCACACATCCTACATGGTCCAAGACTCAATTTTCCCATCTGTCATAGGGGCCCCGTCTTCCCCTTCACCAGGGGAGAGGACAGTGGAAGGAACTCTGAGGGTTTCGGGAGGCTGCCTTGAGATGCTTCTCCCCTCCCCCACTCCCAGAAACGGAGTCCACAGGGCCCCACCCTTCCCGAGGGCTGGGCTGGTACTCTGTCATACTGGCTTTTCTGGCTGGGATTAAGGGAACAGCTGGTGAGTCACCCCATATCTTAAGCCTCCTGGGACAGGCAATATGGCAGGTTCGAAGGCACACAGACCTGGGTTCAAACCCCAGCTCAGCCCCTCTCACTCTGTGTGACTTCAAGTGAGTCACTTCCCCCCTCTGAGACTTTGCTCACTGTAAAAGGATGACCTGACTGGTTTCTAGTGGCCCTCCCAGTCCCTCCTCACCTCCCAGGCTCCCACCTCTGAGCCTCCCAGCCCTCAGCCCCTCTACTCTCAAAACTGACGAGGAAGTGAGGCTCATCCAGAGACCGGCTTCCGCAGCTGGGGACCCCACAGCAGATGCCCACACCCTTCCCCTAGACCAGGTCCTGCCTGGAGTGAGGGGTGATTCTCCCCAGCATCCAGATGGGGAAACTGAGGCTGACAGGTTAATCACTTCTCCTGGTCGCCTAGAGCTGGGATGGAGCAGAGGAGGTGAGATGTTGCCAGGGGGCAATCAGGAGAGGGGGGAGAGGTGTGGGCAGCCCGTCCTACTTCCTGTCGGCCACTCGGCCTGCCCAGGCTCTCTAGCCATGCTCCTGACTCGGCCTCCTGGAAGGGACTTCCCTAGACCCACACACCCAGCTGGGTCTGCTCTCACCCGGGAGGGAGCAGTCAGCTCCACACAGGGAAACGGGGCGTGGAGCTGAGAAGTGACGTGGCCGTGGTCCAGAGCCAATGGGTGGCAGCCTGGGGGGGTCCTTGGATGCCCTGTCCAGTGCCACCCTGCAGGGCCACAGCAGCCCAGTGCCAGCCCTGCCCTGACAAGTTCAGAGACCGCCTTCCCTCCCCGTCACCCTGAGAGGCTAGGTGGGAGCGGCACTTCCGCTGGCTTCCAAACAGGCTGGACGGGCCACTGTCTGAAGCCAGCAAGGTCAGGATTTGGATGACCCCTGCATCCCTGTGGGCCAAGCCTGTCAGCCAAGGCAAGAGTGGGGGAACAGGGCAGGGCCCGGCGCATCCCCTTCCTGGGGCTTGGCTTCCTCCTCTGAAAAATGAGGCTGGTGCCCCTGCCTCCCCAGCCTCCCAACGGATATGCCTGTGAAACTGAATGTGGTGACAACGGAAGCTGGAGCCGGGCACAGAGCCGGGCACAGCAGGGCTCCAGGAGGTGGCAGCTGTCATCGGTGGCCATGGCCCTTTTTGCACAGGTCTGGCCACCCTCACTTGCTGGGGCCCTTCCCAGGGCCTCGGACTCCTTATTTGCAACATGGGGAGCTTCACACACCTAGGAAGCCCACCCTGCCTGGTGGGTGGCCCCAGCAGACACCCTCCCCAGTGTCCCCTGTGAGACGGCTCTGGACTCTGACGCTGCAGGGACAGCTGAATTGCAGACGGAGCTCCCGACAGGTGCTTTCAGTGTGCACCTGGCCCCCGGCCCCTAAGTGTGTCCTTGGAAGGTCCCCGGCAGGCAGCGAGCTCTGGGCCAGGCCCAGCAGCCTTGCTTCCCTGCTCTGGGACGTGCCCAGCCCATAGATGGTGGCCAGCAGAGGCCGCTGCAGCCCCAGGGCCGGGATGGGGGCAGCGCACACTGACCCCAGGGCTGGACCTGTGTCCACTCTGTGCACCCCAAGCAGAGACCAGGGCAGGTGGACAACTGGTACACCAGACACCAAGGAATGTTTCCAACGGTATTTTTATCTTAAGAACTTCCTTTGCAGAGGGTGGGGCAGGAGGGACACAGGGTGTCCTTGGCCCCAGACCCAGGGAGCAGCAGAGGACAGGGCACCTCAGCACCCTCTGCTGGGGTGGCCTCACCCCACCCTGAGCTTCACTCCTGCTTTACTAGGAGCAGAGTTGCATGGAGGGTACTGAGGACTTCCTGGGACCCCCAGTTTGCTCCAACTTGCTGTGTGACCTGGGGCAGGTCTCTGTCCCTCTCTGGGCCTCTCTCTTACAGTTTACTTTCCTAAGGACCTATTCAATGTGACGTTCAGCACTGAGTGTCCAAGACTTGAAGGGGATCCAGGGACACCTGCCTTCAAGAGATGCCTGCCCAGGAGGCAGACAAGAAAATCGGTGACCTCAACAGGCTGGATGGGAGGCACCTGGAGGCTTGGGAGCCTGGGGTGGGGTAGGGAGTTAGGTATAGTGGGTAGGGTCAGGGCGCTTCTTGGGGCAATGGAGAGAGCAGCCTGAGGCTGACCACAGTGCGGGGGAGGGGCCGGGAGCAGCCGGAGGTGGCCCAGGGTATCGAGAAGGGCACTGGGAGTCCTGGGCACAGGCCCAGCTGTGCTCCAATGCCCGGGCCCTGGGCAAGGCACCTCCTCCTGAGCTGCCCAGTCCTGTCTGCAAACCAAGGGGCTATTGCCCCTGGCCCACCGCAGCCTTTCCAACCACTCCAGACGCTGAGGGAATTAGGCTGGGGGTGGGCAGGGGCACACCCTGACATGCTGGTAACAGGAGGGAACAGGTGGCGAGACCCTGGCGTTACACTGACCGATGCAGGCTCCGGATAGCACACTGCTGAGATCAGACTTGATCTCAAAGGCAATGGGGAGCCCAAGGGACAGAAGTGAGTTTGAAAGACTGGGGCAGTGTGGCCCGGATTTGAATCCTGTCTCTGTCCTTTCCTGTGTGGCCTTGGGCAAATCACTTCACGTCGCTGAGCCCATTTCCTCTCCTCTAAAGCGGGACTGATCATGGTCCCGATCTGATGGCTGCGATGAGGTTTCACCTGGGAGTACGGGGAGTACGAGGAGGCTGCCCAGCTGGAGACCTTCTGGCTCACGGTCACCCCTCTCCACAGCTCGGAGCCCATGCCTGACTGCAGACAGGAGCTCACAGGCCGAACCCCACTCCAGGCAGGAAGGAATGAGCAGAGGACCTGTGGGAAGCACCCTGGGAAGTGACGCAGGCGAGCCAAGACGACACGGCTTCTTTCTCGCAGCTTCAACTCAATTTGGGTGTCATATACTTCCTGAGCAGCGGCCTGTGCACAGGGGAGCACGACAGGAAAGCAGCTACGATGTCGTTACCCAAACCCACCCCAAGTAAAACTAAAGGCAAATGATAAATCCTACAGCAAGGGTTGGTGTGCTTCCTATATAATGAGTTCTCACAAATCAACAAGGAGAAAAAAGTACAAGGTAGGAACGAGCAGAGGGCCAGGGCTGGGCTCCTTGCTGAGGAGCCCATCTCAGGAATGTCCACACCTGAGAGCCTCAGCCATTCCAGCCCTCACTGTGGAATGCCTCAGAACACCACAAAGCCTTCAAGCTCAAGGGATGCCTCCTCCATGAAGCCTTCCAAGGATTTTCCTGGGCCCCTGTCACTTCTCCCCGAGGACCCCCAGCCTGTGTCTTGCTCCTGGAACGAACTGCCCGTCGCACTCAGTGAAGAGGGCATGTTTCCGGTGGGATGGACACGTATCTCTGACAGCAGGAAGTGAGGCCTAGGGAGGAGCATCCCAGGTCACCGGCCCATGAGTCACAGAGCTAGGCCTAGCACCCAGGCGTCCTGTCTTTCTCTCTGTGCTCTGGTCACCAATACCCAGTAAGCAACCCAGGCCCCCCTGGCTCCACCACAGGCTGGCCCACGCAGTCCGACCACTCTGTGTGACACGCAGCTGCTCTTACCTGCCCTTTCCTCCCTCCCCATCGTGTAAATCTGACCTTGTTTCAGGACCAGACATTTCCAGGGGGGGCCTCACAGGCCTTCAAGGGTCCTGGGGTCACCCCAGCATGGGCTGGAGGCTGCCTTTGAGGAGGAAGAGTCCGAGAGAACAGGCGAGCTCTTCAGCACCCCACACTCCACCCCGGGCCCCGACCCTGCTCCGTCTGAGCGCCGTCCAGACCCAGGCTGGCCCTCGGGCTCCCACTGGCTGCTGGAGTCCTACATGGTGCCCACCTACTCTGTAGCCACCTGCCAAGCCTCGGCCCACGCAGACTCTGTGCTGACAGGCCGACATAC